CTGTGTGGATGGATAACCTTTCCGTATGCCATCTCATGCACAAAGAGCCTAACTTCACCTGCATGCTCCAGTGACCCTGTAGCCACCCGGAGCCCCACATTTCTCCTGAAGCTATGGTTACCTGAGCCCCACCTGCCTCTGTTTGTCAGCATGTCTACAACTACTTGACAGATGAAGAACATGAACAGTGCCCCAGTAGGCACAGACAATTCTGTACAGCATGAGGGCATATCCCGTCCTCTTACACCAGGGGTTTTTCAGTTTCTCACACGATCCAGGACAGATTCTGGATTTCCCACATGCTTGCTCTCTGCTCACTTCTAGAGACCTTTCTGCCATTGGGTAGAGTTGACCACAAAACTCACAAGAGTCATGTTTTAGTTGGCCATGGCATGGGGCTCCCAGTGTTAGCTCTGACTAGGAGTTCAACAACTTCCATGCAAATGACCAGTAGGTACCCCTCAACCTCACTGCTGAGGCCTGGGACTGAGACATGGCACTGTCCTCTACTTCTTGCTTATCAAGAATCAGGAACCACAAATGCCTGTCCCCAGACTGCAGAGCAAGTGGCAAAGGGTGCAGAGCAAGTATAGGGTTAACTGTCCCGCAATAGCCTGGTGGACAGGGTCTGCGCGTCCCTGGATACCCCCTGTCTGCCTGCATTATTCAGCTCTTGACAAGCTGTAGCCCCTAGGAATTTGTGCTAGCCAGCCTGCTTCCTAGCACAGGAAGCTGGACCAAAGTTGTAGCACAACCCAACAAATGACCAGTAAGCTCACCTGAGGCCACTGAGACCGGCCCCCCACTTCGCCAAGACAGGCCCAAAGCCGCCCCGCGCAGAGCGGGCAAGGGGCCGCAGGGGCGCCCCGCGGGAGGGCGGGCGGTGGCCGCGCCCACGGTCAGCTCAGGGGCCAGGCCATTCCCCTGTATATGGTTGGAGCCATGGTTTCTAGCCATACCACTCCTGTTGGCTTTTCCCCAAGTTCATCTCAGACCCCTCTTCATCAGGGCTCCGGGTTGAACAGGACTTCCTGTCAAGAGTGGTCATCAGAGGTTGACTCCCATTGAATGTCTCAAAATACAAGGTGGATGGCTCCTGAGGAATAACTGCCAAGGCTGACCTCTGGTCTCCATATACACGTGCATACATGTGCACATGCATGCACAGAGAAAACACACACACATAAAGCACAGATTTTTCATGTATAAATTATTCAGCCACAAGTAAAACTAGGAAATGACGTGAGTTCTGGAGAGGTGGCATCATTTGCCAAAGTAACCAATCTGCTGACAAGAGCAGAGTGAAGCCACTTCTCCGCTTTCATTAAAAGTTCGAGGAAGCCAAAATTTTAGCTCCTTCAGCAACAAAACAAGCAGCTGTGATTTGAAGCTGTTTTGGAAACCTAGATGTGACAAGCTACCCAGGTACAACACTCCGTTCCTGCTGTCTATGGAACCCCCAAGTCTAGATGGCAGCCTGGGGCAAAATGCCCCGTATCCTTAAGCCTTGGCCTCAGCACTTTATATGGTGCTCTGTGGATGCAGAGGTGGACAATGTCCACATCTGTGCATATCTCACTGTGTCCTATAGGGAGCACTTGCTGGTCTCCTGGGAACCTCTCAAAGTACTTGAGTCCTCAGCCATCCCTATTCCCTATTGTAGACATCAGGAACCTGCCCCTCCAGCCTCCTTGGCCACAGATGGTCAGTGTCACGGAGCTCCTGTCATAAGACAGCAGCGTGCTAGCCAATGAATAAAAGCAGAGCCCAAGGATACACCGTCTTTCAGCGGCAGAGTACATCACAGCAGCCCCGGGGCCTCCCACAAGTACCAGACTGGGTCCGGCATTGAGTGCACCCCACTTGCCTAGTTCTTGAGGTCTTAGACCCTGAGCTGACTTCAACACTTTCTGTAACAAAGAACTATCCCAGTGGCCTGTGCCTCTGTTCCCATCTCTGTTTAGCACCATCCACATCCTGGGAAGTAAACTTCAGCCATGTGCCTGAATACATTGTTACCAGCTCTGTCAGGTTGGGTCCTCAGAACAGTTTTGTCTGCTCCTCTCTAGAGGCATTTCCTGCAAATCACAGGATGGTCCTGCTAGCTCATTCTAACCCCCTGGGGTAAGAACTACTCATCACAGATTATGTAATCCCAGAAGCCGAGAAGGGTAGGCTCAATGCCTCTTGACCACTTGATCTTGGGGATCCTCAGTGCTCATTGAGGTTGTTGATCGCCCAGCGTGTCCTTGATGTTCCTACATCAAAGTGTCACTGGGCCACTTCTGTGCCAACTTCTCAAGTCAGACTTGGTTTCCAAAACCCAAATATACAGAGCACAGAGAGAATGAGGAGCAAAAATGATGTGCTATTGCCAGGGTACCCTCTTCTACCCGGTGCCTTCAGGGCCTTCCTTCCAGGTGTTTGTTCTATGGGTAGTCCCAGGGAAATCTGCTTCTTCTTGGGGGTTCCAAGGCTCAGCAGCTGAGGAGGAACCATGATGTCCCCATCACCTCCCTGGAGCTCTGCATCTCCCCTGCAGACATATTTTGACCCATGTTTCATGTTTCTAGGTCCACCAGCAATAGAGAGGTGCTTAGGCTGTGACAAAAACATGAGGAGTTTCTCAAAGGCTAACAGCTCCCTTTCCCTAAGAGAAGCATGTAAGTTTTCAGGCGAGGCAGCTTCTGGCCCAGGTCAGGGGAGGCCTGGCTACCTCTGCCACAGTGGGAGCAGCAGAGTTAAAGAGTCTGAGGCTCTTCAGCCAGCTCCAGAGAATTCCAGCCAGCCAGAAGGAATCAAAGCATGGGTGGGAAAAGCCTTCCCCTTCTGACAAATCTATAGACAAGGTGATAACGAGGGCCGGTTTTTTTTTTTGTTTGTTTGTTTTTTTTTTGTTTTGTTTTACTTTGTTGGCTAGAAGCCAAGGTCTGCATGGTGATTTCAGCCCTAGTCTAGAATGCAGCCCCCTCACCCCGCCCAGAAGGCACCACAGGGTGTCACATAGGGTGTCACACTGGTCACTCCCACATCTTCCAAGGTTATCTCCTGAAAGATCTGATATGTCAGCACACAGAGAATGCCCAAGTAGATGTAGGCAGAGCTAGTGAGTGCCATTGTGAAGTTCGAGTTTGCCACAGACAACCACACGTAGCCCTCAACAAGCTAAGCACCCATGCCCTCCCCAGACAGCTGTAGAATGTCCACAGACAGCCAAGGACGTGATTCTCAGTGGCCTCCTCACCCTACATGCAGGCAGATCCCTCAGAGTCCAAGTTAAAACTCCACCACTAGAGTGAGCAGAATGCTCCTTCCTCAGGCTAAATGGAAATCTGTGTTTAATTCACAACAGAAAACAGCGACTCTTGTCTTCTGAGCAATTTCCTGCCAGCTTCAGGGGGAGCTGGAGAAATTAAAGATAGGCTGGTGGAACACTACACACATAAGGAAGTTATCCCATGTGGAGCCCCGTGGATGACTACTCAGCTGCTTCAGAGAAGCCATCACCAACTGCTGCCTGAACTATGGCCCCATCAGTGCCAGCTCAAAGCCTGTGACCACAGTAGTTCTGATGTCACATGCTTCTTTCTAAACCATCTCTTGGTTATCACCAACAAACCCATGTCCCTCCCCTTTAGATGCCCTGGCCAAGGAATCACATAGGTGCTGCCACGTGACGGAGTTTCTGGAGATAGCAAGGATGGCCGCTCAAGGCAGGAAGAAGCAGTGGGAAACTCTTAGATGCACACAGATGCACAGACCTTTGAAGCTCAGTGACAGTGTCAAAAGCAAAAGAGCAGGTAAGAACCCAGGAGAGAAGCTACAAGTCCTCCAGTGGCCTGTCACAAGCCCCTGGGAGTTGGTACAGTATGGTACAGTATGATCAGGGCTGGTCTCCTCAGGGCACAGCTCCTGGGAGGACACTAAGTTGGGCAGAACACTGGACACTATGAAAAGGACGTGAGAAAGGACATAGACCCAATTCTGACTGTTCCCACTGAGCTTTCCAGACAGAAGAAAGATGAGGGTAGAGTCCCTCCCAGACCTGGGCAAGAGCTGTCTAGTATCACTTGTGCTGCCAGGGACAAGGACAGCAATGTTGCCTCAAGAATTCCTGAACCCTGTGAGGGGGATGCCTGGGCCATGGCCTCAACTCAAGGTACCATGTGGCCAGGAGCCACAGCTAGATAAGGAGACCCGGGAAATACAGTGCTGTTGCTAACAGCTACTTAAGTCAGTCCTATGGAGCTGCCCTTTCCACCTCAGAAAGGCCTTATCATGAAAGGACAAACCTAACAGGGAAAAACACAAGCCAGACCCACACAACTAAAAACAGACCTAAAATGTTGTATTCATGGTTTTAGGACCACAGCTTTACTTTAGCAATCCCACAACTACACAGGAAGCCATCTGCACTCTCCAGAAACGACACACACTTCCTTGTCAGCCAAATTGTGCCCCATTCTGAACACCACTGCTCTCAAGTGGGGGAGAGCCCAAGGGTCGATCCCAGCCTTGCTTCGAGTGAGAAAGCCCCCAGGCTTGACAGCTAAGGGATCCCACGGGCCTAAATGCTTTCCCATGATGTGAAAATGAGTCCCAGGTTCCCAGAGCCAGCCCCAATTTTACGTCTCTGGCTAACCATGCATCTGAGAACCAAGCAGTTCGAGGCAACAGCTGGCCACAAAGAATTCCTCAGCAAATCTTAAGTGGCAGCAAGATGGACTTGGGCATCACCCTGGATGCCTCAAGCCTGGAATACTGATATCATGGCCCCAGAGATCCCCATCTCTGCCTCATAGTCCCTTCAGCAGTTTGGGGATTCCAGTACCTCCACAATATCCGCCTCTGGGATACTATTCCAGATGCTGGGAAGGGACAGGCTAGCTATCCTGGCCAGCCATCTGGGCCATGCCTTCTGCATCTCGGGGTGATAAAAAGGCACAACTAAGAACAGACCTCTCAGTCTGCGCGACCCCGCCCACCACCCGATCGCTTACCTGCTTGTCCCGTGCGCGATGTTCCACACCGCCGCCCGCGCGCCGTTCGGTGTCTTCCGTGCCTTTGCGGCCGCTCGCATACGCAGACACCACGAAACTGTCCCCTGCGGCCCGCCCACAGACGCGTGGGAAACACAGCACCCACGGAGAAGGAAGGAGACCGTGAGCCCCGCGGGGTGCGCTTCTACCAAGTCCGCCTCGAGGCACCCACCCGGTCCCCGGAGCCCCGGGGCCACGCGCTCCCGGAGACCCACCCGAGGGCGCGAGGCAAGGCTTGCCCCAAGCTCGGAGCTCTGCGCATCCGGCCCGGGGGCCACCTCGCGCCCTGGCCGTGCCCGTGCTTACCTTCGGGGCTCTCTCTCCGCTTGCAAGCTGCTGCGGCTGCGGCGCGGCCCGAGGACGCGGGAAGAGGGAAGGGACATTGAGTGGCGGAGCCACCCTACCCGCGTCCCCACCTCCGTCCTACCCATGTCCCACCTCACAACCCCCGTCCGCTCTGGCCCGCACCTCACCGTGCTTGGACTGAAATTTCCCCATGTCTCCTCCGGGCCTGGACCTCCGGCCGCGCTCCCAGGTGCACGTCCGAGGTTCAGAGCCCGGGGCGCATGGAGAGCGCGCCAAGAGCGATTCGTGAAGCCTGGATCGGGGACCGGGCAGCGGACCAGGCTTGGCCTGGCAGCGGGAGACAGCGGCGCGGGCAGCGGCCGGGATCCCTCTGAGCGCGCGCGCCCGCGACGGGGCTTTAACAGCAGTTCTCGCAGCGCCCCCCGCGGCCGCGGCCCGTAGCGCACTGGACCCCTTTGCTCTGGGACTTGACTAGGTGGAGGGGAACCAAAGAGACTGCCCCCACAGCCAGGGAGACTGACCCAGGGCACCTATGAGTATAGACAGGGCCTGCAGTGGACTCCGGGTTTCTGGCTCTCTGAGGTTTCTTCTGAGCGACAACTTCCACCCCTCCCAAACGGTGGCCTGGAGATTCCAAATTAAAGAGGTCGGTGAAAGAGTCCTTTGGAAGGGAGGACCCTGGAGTCAGCCTAGGTCTTAGGGACTCTTCTTGATTACTTTGGCTGGGCAAGGGGATAGGGACAGGCTCACCGGGGTGGGGGGAGGAGGGGAAGAGGGAGAGCAGGACTAAACTTGCCTGGCCTGCTGGCCTGGACCCTTCTCCCTTCCTTCCAGAATGCCTGCCTAACTCTGGCCTCTTTCAGCCCCACAATGATGAAAGACCAGCACTGCCCATCAGCTTGGACAGGCTCTGCATCCTTCCCTTTGACTTTGGCTGGGGCAGGGTCCTTGCTGGTCTGTAGTTGGTCCATCGGGCTCTAACCAGCCCCTCCCTGGCTGGCTAACCTCTGAAATGCCTCTCCTGTAGCATTTCCCTTGGAGGGGATTGCTCACTCTTATTCTATGACCTGCTTATCTCCAGAGAGATCTCTTTCTCCCTTCTTCCTTGAGCCCCATCTTATTCTGGTGAGACGTCTCTGCTTGGCTACCTACTTTGACCACAGAGCCCTGTCTTAACACACGTGCCTCTGCAAATGGCTTCAAGAGCAAATGCACCATTTTCCCTGTAAGCCATGTCTGAAACACAGCTTCTATTCTTCCCCAGCTTTCTTGAGATATGGTTCCCATACCCTAGAAGTCTCCCACTCAAGATGCACTATCACGTGGCCTTTGGTCTGTACATAGGTGTGTCCTAGAACAGCCATCTCCTAGAGTGACTCCTTACCTTTAGCACCCCCCCACATCCCCAGGGAGCCATGAGGCCCTTTCCCCTTTTCTCTGTGTATTTCCTTATTCTGGTATTTCCACAAACTGACTCATTTGATGTGTAGGTTTTTATGTCTGCTCTCTCCCACCTTGAACTTCTGAAGCCCTTTGGAGTTGTTCATTCTGAGGATTCTTGACTGAAAACAAAACAAAACAAAACTGCAAATTTTACTTACCCTAACCAGGGCAATTTCACAGCCCCAGACATGTCAGAGATGGAATGGACTCATGTAACTATGGGGACTCCTTACCCACAAGGTTACTCACCTAACCTCCTCCCTCCTTTATTTGAGAGAGGGTTCTACCTACAACCAGCAACTGAGGAAGAAGAAAGGGAATTCTGGGAAAGGACTCACTGATGAGTGTCCACAGCTGTGTTGTGGGAGTGTTTGCAAATACAGCCATCACCATCATTGAAGCCACATGAGGAAGTTTCCAACAAGGGCGGGCTTCATGGTGCTCCAGTCTCCCACACTCCAGTCTCACCTTTGGGCAAACGAGGTGAGGTCAACTTGGTCCATTCTCTCCGCTTCATCCTGTTCAGATGTAGCTTCCCAGTTGGTGAAGACAGAGTTGGATGGGAATGGCTATTGTTTCTACCCTCCCCACTCAGCCACTGCTCAGCTGTGTGGGCACATTATCAGCCCAAGGAGACAGGACCCAATGTAAAATTGCAGCAACAGCAGCCTCAGGTTGGACTTTGTGGAGAGGTTGGGACTAGAGGCCCAGGAAGCAACATGGAGTGGGAGAGGATTTCCACTCGCTGATCCTGTGTCCAGGCCTATCTCTGTCCCTTGAAGTCATCCCCCCCCCAATGCTGCTGTGGGCTCTGAACTTTGAACCAAAGGCATTGACATCAGGAAAGAACACAAAGACTGTCATGTGACTCCCTAGGGAAATACAGAGAAACATCTTTTTGCCCCAGACATAGAGTCCAGACAGACTAAAGAGATTTACATCCAAGTACAGCTTGGTAAATTAATTAGTTTATTAGTGTTATTATTCACAGGAACATAGGGGATGCACAGTCAGCTAATTCACCAAGAAGCCCACCCCCTGGCAACTGTTTGCTTCTTACATAATATCAGAGACGAGAGGAGCTTAGGGAGGTCTCCATGATGGAAAATTAATATAATATGAGAATTCAGAGCAGATGGCCACAGCTTCTCTGCTTCGAGATAGCAATGGCTATTTCCAACCTGGTGGAAAATGCTATACTACAAATCCACATGTATGGAAGCCTGTCCTCATCCAAGTGTCAAAGCAGAAACCATTTAGACTATACTGGGGTCTGGTCTCAAATCCTGTGGAGCCAACACCCTGCCTGATGTGTCCACTCTGAACCTGTCTCTGGCTCAGCCTCTGCCCCCGGACACAAGCTTCTCGGCCTGTTCCACCTCCCACTTGTCGCTATCATCTTTTGGAACAGCCTGAGCTTGGGTCCCTCTGGCTGGAGCAGCAGTTTCTCCAGCCAATGCCCTTGTTCTCCTGGCTGCCCAGCGTGGGAAGAAGATTGAACACAATCGGGCTGGCTATGTGAGGACTCATCTCTGCCCAGTATCCAACGTCCTGTGCCCTTGGCCTATCAGCTTGGATCATGCATCCCACACCTAGTGTCCTGCCTTACTCAGGCCTGAGGCTCTGGGAAGAGTTCATGGGTTGATAAAAATCAACTCTCAGAACTTTCAAAGAGCAAGGCTGTGCTGGTGCCACACCTGTCTCATTAAGTTGTGGGCTTGAAGTTTTTCAAAGCACTTTGTCATTATCTGTCAGAGGTGGGTAGGGCAGTGCCCTTATCTCTAAGATGAAGAGACGCTGCCTGGCGTCCATCCCTACATCCAAGCTACAGCCACTTATCCCTGTCCATGCTGGCGTCCCATGCTGTGCCACTTCCAACAGGGAAGGCTCAAGATCTCCAATAGCAATGTGAACTCTGCCCTTCAAGGCCGGGGCCCCAATGTAAATGAGGCATAGCTATGGGGGGGGCCCCACTTTCCCTTTGATCTCCAGTTGGGTCTGGCTTAGGCAGGGGAAGGGGACAATGGCCTTCATGAAATTCAGAAAGAAGCCCTCTGTGTGTGTTCTTCACTGGGTTAGCGCACATCACCTCTTGGCTGTGGCCCCTGAATGGGCTGTTCTTACACGGTGCTGCACCTTGCAGAGAGGCAGACCTGTCCTGTTTCTGTGATTGGCTCTGTTAAGGTTGTGTTAATCATCACTCTCCCCTCTTCAGAAGTGAGGGGAGGTCTGTGGTGTGGTGTGCTATGATTTGGCCAGCTGCAGGCAGAAGCGGGGGGGGGTAGAGCAGAGGGCCCTTGGTAGAAGGCGGCTCTGGGACCCAGAACTGAACACTGCCTACACTGTCCTGTTTGAGTCCTCTCAGCACATGGGCGGACTGCCTGAATCGTAGACCAGGGCTCATACAAACCAGCCTCCTTGTGAGCCTGGGGTCTTGCTTAAGAAATGGGGCCTGCAAGCTCCTGGAGTACAATTGAAGTGAGGGATGAGTGATAATATGAACAAAGGAGTCAAGACCATGATGGGGAAAACCACAGAATCAGCTAGTGAGAGATCACTGACTCAGGCCAGACAAATGGGGAACCTGCATAAGACTGAGCTAGACTCCCTTTAATACAGGTGACAATGGTGCAATTGGGAAAAGATATGAGGTCACTGGCAGTGGGTCCAAGATCTAACACTAATGCACAAACTGACTTAGTGGAGCCCATTCTGGATGGACAGATACCTTGCCCAGCCTAGACACAGGGTGGGCAGGGGGTGGTGGGGGGGTGCCTTGGTCCTGCCTCAACAAGATGACAGACAGACTTAATAGACTTCCTAGGGGAGGCCTTACCCTCTCAGAGGAGCAGATGGGAGCTGGGGAAGCAGGAACAGGAGGAGAGGAGGGAAGGGGAACTGGGAATGGAATGTAAAAAGTAAGTTAAAAAAAATTAAAAGAAGAAATGTGGTGTACAATAGGACAAACACAACACATTAGGTGACAAAGTCAGAATATGCCAGTATCTCTTCAACCTCTTCCATGCAGAAACCCCACACATGCAGAGACTGAGACTGAGGGAATTTCCTTCACACAGTGTGCTCATCACATTGTGGCTGGGTCACGGCTTCTCTTGTACAGAATGTTTGCAGTCCCCAACCAGGCCCCATGCTTTCCACAGGTCTCTCCTCTGATGCACAGAGCTCTGCTACAGTGGAGGTTGTCTGTGGAATATTGGCTGCCAGCTCTCCTCAGGCATCTGATCCCTTTGCACCAACACCCTTCGGTATTTTACAGGTCCTTCTAAGGCCCTGACAGAAAAGCCAACACAGATTCACAAAACACAAGTGTCTTACACTTCAAGCTATGTGCTCATGACTATCTCCATGTAAGAGCTCATCCTGGGCAAAATTAGTTACAGTGTCATTGTGGGTGTGTAAGCTGCTAAAAAGCTAAAGGGAAGAGAATCTGAGGTAATAAGTCTTACCTCAGCACTTCTGGAGGTTTCTACACACCAGAGGTTTGTGAAGCATTTACCTCATCACCCCGACTGAGAGTCACCCCCAGTAAGTAATTCAAAGAGACTGGATTGATCTTGCTTTGTGGATGGAAAGGAAATGCAGCTTTCAGTATCAGGCAATATTTGTGCAAACCTTTCACACAAATTGTATTTACAAATCTTCAGCATAATTTTGTGTGCGCTATGGACTTTAATCACAGTTAAAATCAAGCTTGGTAAGTTGTAAAACAGGAGCATGTGAACGTGTAAGTGAGCAATGGAACATGGAGGTTGAACCATCTCATACCCAAGTGAAAAGATGCATTGGCAAGTGCATATTTAAAAGATATCACTCTCAGGCAGAGAATCCTTTAAGGAAAGATAGATGGCAGTGAGCACGTGTGAGCAGCCACCTTCCAGGAGCCCCATGCACACTTCGAAAGCCTGCCCTATCTAGTG